TTTTAAGATTGATCGCTTATTATTTTTTTACTTTTATTTTTAGTAAAATATTTGTTACATACAAAGGCATGTATGTAACATATTTATATGTTACAAAGTTTGATAATAGTAGAAACATTTGTAGACTAGCCACTCAATTTAAGTAAGGCAACATTGCACACACACATGTGTTTCTTCCTTTTCATTTTTTGGCTTCTTCCCCCTGGGTAATTACTCTCCTCAATAGTTTTTCTATATGTGTATTCCCAAACTATATATATTAATATAAATTATATATAAATATAATAAAATATTACATATATTATTATGTTAATATAGTAACCTCTTTCTCTTTATATTCACCTATGTTTTTATTGTTTGTATATAAATTCCTAAACAATATATTGTTTCATTTTGCTTTTTTTTTTGAAAAATAGTATCAAAATTAAGAAAATTTTTCTGGATTCCTTTTTTCATTTTTTTGTGTGTAACTGTAGTTCATTTTTTAAACATTTATGATAAATCTTCTTCCGTTGTGCAAATATAACACAATTTATTTATATTTTCTTTTTTAGGTTGTTGTAAATTTTTATTGTTGTTGTTGTTACAATAAAGAATTCTACAATAAACATTTTGGTATATGTTTCTTGATGTTCATGTGCAAGGATTTTTCTTGATTTAGAGAATAAACCTAAGAGTACATTATCGGATTTTCTTTTTGGTATTTAAATGTTCAACCTTCCAAAATAATAAGAATTACTTTCAGAGTGATTGCACTAATTTACACTCCTGTTAGTAGTATATAAGACATCCTATTCACATCCTCCTTTCTTTACACTTGGTAATCATTGTCTTTTTCTCCTTCTTCTTCTTTTTTTCTTTTTTTTTGCCAATCTTGTAAATGTAAAAGTGTATTTCACTGTGGTTTTTAACATGCATTTTGTGAATTGCTAATTGGGCTGAGCCTCTTCTATGCTTTCCATTTATATATACTTCCTCCTTTTTTGAAATACCTGTTTCCCCCATTTTTATACTGTGTCATCTTTTTATTATTCATTTTATGAGTTCCATATTGCAAATATCTCTTCCAATTTGTGGTTTGTTTTTTATTTTATTTGAAATATCTTTTGATGAACAGAAGTTTAAATTTTACTATAGTTTAATTTGTCAATATTTTCTTTTATGTCTTATGCTCTTTGTGTCTTGTCTAAAAGATTTTTGTATTTTGAAGTTATAAAGATGTTTGTATGTAAAATTATTTAACAAATTTGACTGTCTTTTCTTTTTATTCTTAATTCTTTACCAGCAAGGAATGATTTTTGCATGTAGAAGTGAGATAAGAATCCACTTTCGTTTTCTCTGTATGGATAACTAGCATCTCAATGCCATTGCTTCCCCATTAATCTTCAGCCTGTCTCTCTCATATATCAATTTATCTATAAATTATTTGAGCTTGCAATGTAGATAATAATATAGTCTACACAGAAAATGACGGTTTTATTTCTTCCTTTCCAATCCTATGACTTTAATTTTGTTCTTTTCTTTTCCCTTCCTTCCCTTCCCTCCCTCCCTCCCTCCCTCCCTCTCTTCCTTCCTTCCTTCCTTCCTTCCTTCCTTCCTTCCTTCCTTCCTTCCTTCCTTCCTTCCTTCTTCCTTCCTTCCTTCCTTCCTTTCTTCTTATCTGGGACCAGATCTCCAGGACAATGTTGAACAGAAGCATTCTTAAATAGCAGGCATCATTATCTCATTTTTAATTCCAAATGAGTGTTTCTAGCATTTCTCCATTAAGAATGCTATTTGCTGCAGTTAATTGATAACAATCTGCATAAGATTAAGTGAGTTGATTTTTCCCCTATGCCCAGCTCACCAAGAGTTTTTTAAAAATTAGATTTAAGTTTTGTTAAAAGATTTTTCTATATGTAATACAATTATTTTCCCCCCTTTACTGTGTTATTGGGAGTAATTTCATTTATAGTCTTTCTAATATGAAACTACTCTTATGATTCTGGCAACATCAAAGTTGATCATAACACTATATTGTATACAGGTAGGTTAACGTTAATATTTGCTAAGACTTTTGAATTTTTATTAATATGAGAGAATGGCCAGTCATTTCCCTTTATTCTTTTCTCTTTTTTTTTTCTGGAATTATTTTTTTATCATCTTTGTTTAATCTTGGTAACAAGGTTATATTGGCCTGATATAATGAATTAGAATTAGGGAGTGTTTTCCCCCATTTTTATTCTCTAGATAAGTTAGTATATGATTTAAATTATCTGTCTCTTAAAAATAGGGTGAAGCTTACTTCTAAAATAATATTGCCCTTCTTTTAAAGAAAGATTCTTAATTACTGATCCAATTTCTTTAATAATTTTTATACAATAATTCAGATCTACTATTTCTTTTCGAGTCAGATTTGTTCAGTAAGTTATTTTATATGATTTCATCCATTTCATTTAAGTTTTCAAACTTATTGCATAATGACGTATATTAGGATTCTCACACTATATTTTTATGTCTGTTATATCTGTATGCACATTTTTTATTCCTAATATTTTATTGCTAATAAGATTCTGTTGTGCTTTTTAAATATTTCCTAAATTAAATGCTCAGATGGCCATAATGAATCAGTAGAAGAGAGAAGACATCACAGAAAGGCTGCTTGAATACAACCTCATTCATCCTTTTCCTGTTTGTCAATAATTTCAGTGATTCTACACGTTGTTTTGCTTATGACTGTTTACGCTGATTTTGAAATATTTCTGATAAAGGAGTCCAACAAAGTCTCTTTAAGACTCCTATTTGAACTTTGAATTAAACAAAAATTTTTAACCTGGAGATAATCATTCAATGTGGGGAGATCAGAATTTTAACTTTAAATCACTTGATTTCTAAATACCTGTTGCTGTTGTTTTTTACTGTGTGTGTGTTTAATTATTTGGTCATTATGATTTATGAAATTCACATATGTGTGCCAGATCAACAAAATATTCATGACAAGTATATGTTGTATGGCATTTGAAATACATGGTCTTGTTAATTCTTGTAGCAATATTTGGAAATATATAGCCAATATAATTATTCTCACTTTAAATATAGAAAAAGAAAGACATTAAAAAATAATTTTCTAAAAGTAGACCTACTATTTGATCCAGCAATCCCACAACTGGGTATCTACCCAAAGGAAAAGAAGTCATTTTATCAAAAAGACACCTGCACTTGGATGTTTATTATGGGACAATTCACAATTGCAAAGTTGTGGAATCAACCCAAGTGCCCATCAATTCATGTGTGGATTAACAAAATGTGGTGTATGTATACCATGAGTACTACTTAGCCATAAAAAAGGATGAATTAATGCCTTTTGCAATAATTCGGATGGAACTAGAGACCATTATCCTAAGTGAAGTATCTAAATAATGTAAAAACAAACACCACATATACTCACTATTAAATTAGAACTAACCAATGAGCACACATGTGCACAGAGGGAAGTAAAACTTAGTGGAAATCAAGCCAGGGGAGGAGGGAATGGAAAAAACCTACCTAATGGGTACAATGAACACTGTTTGGGTGATGAGCACATTTGTAGTCATGACTCAAGCATTACAAAGTGATCCATGTAACCAAAAACGTTTGTGTGCCTTTAGTATTTTGAAATTAAAAAAAATGTAAAGTTACCACAATAAATTGAGGTAAGAAACTAAATTGATTTACTAATGGGGTTCTAATCTATATTTTTGAAAATCTTTTATAAAACTCCATATGTTTATAATTAGCCAAGGTGTTGGTTTCTAGGGTTGCTATTTGTTGGACTGATAGAGGTAAACGGAGGAATTTCTCCTTCTGTGGGCTGTAAACACACTCCATGTGATAAACATAATACCAGTCACAACGGCCACCAAGGCCAGTCGCTCAAGTCCTCGCATAGGAGGATCAATAAGAAAACTGCGTTTAAAAAGCTCATATCTTTACTACCACTATTGCAGTTTTCCGAAACACCAGGGAGGACATAATCTTACTTGCTGTAAAGAAATCTACAGTAAGACAGGCAGTAACTTGACTTTCCATACCTTAAAATGCATAAAGTGATTTTTAAAAATAACCATAAAGCTGAAATATGATGTAGTTAGATTCTCATGGCAATAAATTAAGCAACAAAGAGCCACCCCGCCGATTCAATATTGTAGTGGATTCACCCATACATCTTTTGAGATCCACTTTCCCTAAGAGGCAGAAGGGTGTAAGAGGTAGTGATGATGGCCAGGGAGTCAGATGACTTGCTTCCAGCAGTGTGAACCTAGGCAGGTCTCTGACATTATCTGTGGCTGGTTCTGTAGATAGTATCTAAAGACGTCTCCAGATCTATGGGTCTATATATTTTAGGGCAATAGAGAATTGCCTTCCTATTCAAAGGAGTACTGGAACTATAATCCTGAGAGCTCCTGATAAGATTTAATTATGGATAGCTTGGGGCAGATGGGGTGGGAAGGGGGATAGAGAAAGGCTGAACAGATTTGGGACCATGAAAAGTGCATTGTTAGACTGTTAATTTGGAATTACTTATTTTGATCATACAACCCATTATCCAGGTTCCTAAGAGATAAAGCAAACTGGATTTATTCTTCCCGTATAGATGAGAATTGAAGCAGAAGGACAACTTGTTTTTTAGGTTACATATACCAGGTTAAATTGGTCAGCTAGAAATAAGAACATAAAATCATAAAATAAAATTTTAACTTAGATTTCATGCCCTTGGATTAGATGTATGTGGTGCCATTCTACTTTAGAATGTGATTTTTCAGAAGGCAAAGAATGTAAAATTCAGAATACGTTTTGAGCACTAACATTCTGCAACCTATGGATCTGAGATGAAGTTACAGAAGCAAGACAGAGGTGGCACCCTTGCTTTGAATTCTATTTCTACAACAACAAAAAGAGCACTTTGCGGGTTCTGCTGGTTATTTAGCAGACTAGAGAAATCTTGGAGGATTTGCTCTGAATCTTTTTTCTATCTTCAGAAAGACAGATACTTTGTGAAGTTGCGGCTGGACCACTGCCTTAGAAAAGGTAGGAACGGTTACAACATATTTATATGATCATTTAAACTCCGGTGCTGGATTGCTTTTTAGGCTGCCTCCCTGAATCAGTTAGAAAGTTTTTGGCTGCAAGTAACAAAAACCCAATTCTTAGTGGCTTGAGCAATGATAGAATAAAGTTATGCCATTGGAAAGAGGTGCAGCAGGTTCCATTTTCTCTTTCCATTCAATTTTCTTGGCCCTGTCCTCTTGTGTGTATCAGCTTTATCTTCAGGCTGGTAGCCAGATGGCTGCAGTAGATCTGAGCCTCTTATCTTCCCACAACCACACTGAGAGAAAGAGTGCCTGTTTCTTTTTCTCTGGACATGGTTATAGGAAGATGTGTGGAACAAAATTGAGAAGGCCCAGCAAACTTTCCACCATATCTCATTTGTATGAATTTGTGGAAGGCATATTAGTTCAGGGGACCTGAACCAATCACTGATCAGAAAGAGGACCCAACCCTGGAGTTGGGAGCAAATGCTTTAGCTGTATTACTGATACAAAGTGGAGGCAACATGGAGTAGATTCTGAGAAGAGAAACGCTGCTAACTTTAAAATATAATTGACCAGAGACCTGATACAACTTTTGGCAAAAATTGAGCTATTGGAATAGATGTTCCATACTGAGCATTGTCTAACTTCCAGCCAGTATGCTAAGCATTGCATTTGAATAATTTCATTTAATTCTCATAACAATCTAAGGTAGGCACCATTGTTATTATTATTGGGACATCCCTGTTTCCCAGATGAGGATATTGAGGCTTTTAGCAATTAGGCAACTTGCTCTAATTTACAAAGCAAGCTAACGGAATCAAGGAACATCATGCTAGAACCCTTGTTCCTAAGAGTTTTCTATCTCCCATGGAGGAGTTCTCAGATTTGTGGGCTAGAGATCAGTATGGAATAAATCATTTCATTATATGTACAACAGTAGCATCCCGTGGAGGGGTTTCCTTCATAGATACCTTTGGGTAGCATATTATGGAGCCTAGTAAATCTGCGATGTTTGCTTTTCAAAATGGAGGGAATAATAACGATATCAAATATCATAAAGGAAACAATAAAGTTGGGCAAATATTATAGACTCCTTTAGACAAAAGACATTTCTTTTAACACACATAAACAACAAAATATGACAGCAAAACATTTCTGTTTAAAATAAAAAGTATTTGCTTCCTTAAAAAAAGACTACAGAAAATGTTAGTTAGCAATTTAGTAGCATTTGGAAGGAGATCATATCACTTACGAGAATATGTACAATTGAGGGACTATGAAAAGTTCGTAAAAACATAAATGTGTTGTTGGCTAGATGAAATGAAGTGAGACCTGTATTTATTCTTTGTTCAGAATCACTTAGTAAATTTGGGGAAAATTTTATCTTGCAATGGAAGGCAATAGGTGACCAATGGTTTATTTATAGCTTAAAAGGTAGTTTAGAAATTGAGCACGATGCAAATTAAAGAAATACATAGCTATTGCATTGCAAATGCCATTAACTATTTTCTATTTTAGCTACTGGCATGAAAGCATACATATTTGACAAAAAAATTTTTTTGGCAAGGTAGGGTATTTAATTCTTCAGGTTTTCTTAGAAGTCACAGTTGAATCCAGAAATCAATTACAAAAGAGATCTTCTTTATTTTTATTTATTTATTTTTATAACAACACTTTCCATTTGTCCCTGAACAGGTTTTGCAAGAAGAAACTCTGCTCATTCTGTAGGCAGGTGGCTCCCTGATCTGCTGTTTCTGGAGCTTCAATCACTAGTGACATGCCTGCAATCCACAAAGTCCTGGGTGTCTCCTTTAGCTATCATCATCTGAAAGACATCTAAAAGGGTGTTTTAGTGCTTGAGAGCATTAGGTTTCATTTCTTGCATTCCACAATGTAAGTGGAAAAGTTGATCCACACTGACATGAAGGGCTCAATTCTGCATGAACTTTTTGTTTTTCCACCAGAGGTAATCCTTCTTTTTTTTCTTTTTTGTGTAAGGCTCAAGTTCATTTAAAAGTTGTTGACTCTTTCCTAGAGACATATAGCCCAGCAGAACTAAACTCATTCCAATGAAACTGACATCAACTAGCAGAAGAATGGCTATTTTTAATACTAGAGACACCTTTGCAGAATGACTAAACTTGCTAAGCAGCAATATATAGAGACAGTGCACTGAGATCAAGAAGAGTCAATCATCAACCACTCCAGTTGTTTTTAAATAGACTTACTATGCTTTTTAAAAGAGTATTATTTCAATAAAACAATCCACAAATAAACACAAAACAAAAGGGCAAATGTAGAGACATATTGCAAGTAAGCATGCATACCAAAAAGGTAAGTGCAAATTAGATTTGAATATTCATGAGTCACAAATCATTGACAGTTTGAAATAATGCAAAACAGCTTTATAAATGAGGTTAAGGCAAGGGACATCAAAGAAATGCATCGCTAAATCAATAGCAGTTTGATTGTGCATATACTTGTAAATTGCGGTTACAATTTTTGTGACATGGGAGAAAAAATACTGTGTATCTGATGAAGGAGGAAGACACATAAATATTCCTTTTGTATATTGTAGTTTTACAATTTGTCATGCACTTGGAGACCAGCCAGGTAGAGAGTGGTTGGGCATCATATTTTCCCCCAAAGACAGAGTTCCCTTTTCAGAGACAGAGTTTCAGGCCTATGCCCAAACAGCCCTTGCTTGTTCTGCTAAACAGAATTCATCGTGCAACGATTCTTGTAGCGTTGTTTTCTAAAATAAAGATTGGCACTTAGCACATATGACTTTAGAGAATGGCTTAACCTTAAATCCCTTCATAATAAAATAAATTCCACTGGACGGCATATAGTCTGTCTTAGCAAATATTTTTCTATTTAGAAAAGAACAGATGAATTCAAAGTATAAGAACGATTTGTAATACTTTGAAATGATTGGAGATGTAAAATATAGATAACCTTATAATTTAAATCAAAATGTTTTCATTTTTGTTCAGCAGGTAACTAGTCACTAATTTAATATTGGTTCTTTTGTACCAGTGGCTTTTTTTTTGGTGTGGGGTGTACATACATGCTGCATATGTATGGAGAGATATTTTAAATGGTAGGACTTAGAAATTAAAGACTTGTTTAGGGCTTGCCTAAAATTATTAATAGAAACATTTCCAATTAATTTTTCTCAGTAGTTTGTATCTGGGATACTATTTGTAAATTATGAAGTATTTTTTCAGGACATTACTTTACAAGCCTCTTTATTGTGTCCTGTCTGCTTTCTTGGATAAGAGAAGTTAATGACATCATATGAAAATCATGGCACACAGTAATACTAATTTTGGAAGAGGCTGGGGAATTGGGATCTGTTTAGAAAATTAATCTATATCTTCTTGCTAGACTATTCTTTAAGGCAGACATTTATATTTGGGAGGTGAAATCCAGATGAAGCATATCTAGAAAAAGAGACTTCTGCGTTGTCTTCAATTTACTATTCTATTGGAAAAGAAGCTAAGATGATTTCTGTACTGTTAATAATTAAGAATATCAATAAATTCCAAAGCAACGGCCTAGGTAAACTTTTAAGGTCTTTATATAAAGTCTATGATTATAATTTGTCAGTTTTGACTTAAGTAACATTTAGTGTTATGTTTGTAAGCCATATCTCGTTATTTTTGTTTTATATATAAAAATTTCTTGAATCTCAAAAGTTATTAGCTTACTTGTTTTTTTTTTTTTTTTTTTAGACAGAGTCTTGTTCTGTCACCCAAGCTAGAGAGCCGTGGCATCAGCCTTGCTCACAGCAACCTCAAACTCCTGGGCTCAAGAGATCCTCCTACCTCACCCTCCTGAGTAGCTGGGGCTACAGACGTGCACCACCACACCAGGCTAATTTTTTCAATTTTTAGTAGAGATGGGGTCTTGCTCTTGCTAAGGCTGGTCTTGAACTCCTGAGCACAAGCAATCCTCCTACCTTGGCCTCCCAGAGTGCTAGGATTACAGGCATGAGCCATCACGCATGGCCAACTTATTTGTTATTGATAAGCAAGTATTTCTATTACTCTTTCTAGTAAATGTTTTGTCATGATATACTGTGAAGTTATTTAAATTATTTAAAGTTTTTTTACAACTGTTTAACCACAATATTTGATTTAATGATTGCTAATACCAGCCGTCTATATAGGCATACACTACTTTTCCCTCTAAATTCATTTCCATTAAGTCATAGCTTCTAAACTTTCTTGATAAGAAGGATAATTTACAGTATCTCTATTTTGATGATTTTGATTAAGTCCTTTATATGTGTGTATGTGTGTATATATATATATATATATACAGTTTTAAAAATAATTTAATCTGTAAATAAAAACATAACACATTAGACTAACCAAGGACTATAAACATTATTGTTCTCCCTCCTTACAATCTATAAGATAAGAGGAAAGTCATTTTAGTTTTCTTATGTCTTTTTAAAGTGGAGGAGATATTACACTGAACTTTCATTTCTATAGCAGGAAAGTGCCTGAGTAGCCAAATCCCTGAGATAAATTTTTTTAACCATTTCCCTTGTCTAGCATCAAGAAGTTAGAGGATCTGGGAGCTGTCATTTCTGGTAATTCAATATCAAAATGAAAGAAAGATAGAATAAAATAAAAGACTTAGCATTGATTCTGAATTACTTAACAATGTATTACTGAATTCCAATGAAGTCTTGTCTTATCATGAAAAAGAAACAGTCTCTCTCTATCCTAAATGTCACCTTGGGAGACCCTTGGACCTCATGCTCATTTTGCTATGTAAATAGAATTAATTTTATCTTGAAAGAACAGTGGAGTGGCAGTTAAGGAACTTCTATTTCCTATTCTGCCACTAACTGCTGCTATGAACTTGCACAAAGTACTTCAGATTCCTTGGATCTCCGTTTTCTCAATTATAAAAGAGGAGATTGGTCTAGAAGTACCAATTTTCAAACTGTGCCTCTGAATTGCTAGAGTCTTGATGAGGGATGGAAGACTAGCTGGCTGAACTCAGAGCAAAGATCATCTACTTTCTTTCTGGCTTGCATATTGATCTTAGCAAAATTTAATTTGAGAGAAGAAAATGACCTAAAAAGTTTGAAAACTATTACATTAAGAAAAGATTTCTTTTGGCTTGATAATTCTAATCTGCAACCCAATTTGTTCCGTAACTATTCCAGTGAATATTGGATTGAGAAGAATTGTCATGTTTTTGACTTTTCCTTTTAAGTAGAGGTAGTAAAAACAATTCCTAAACCTCATACATCGAAGCCTAAAAAAGACAAACCAGAAGGCAAAATCTTAGTACAATTTTAACTGAACTTATACATGATGTCAAGACAACTACTTAACATGATGTGACAACTCTCAGCTAGGCCTGCTCTTACCCTGGACCACATGCTGCATAATTCCAGAGGGCACCATCATATTATAGTTTAACTGAATGATGCTCTTGAGTGATGTTGAGCAAAGCATCACCTATGTGGCTATCCCAGACTTGGCTGCTTCTTCATTTGGCCAATAGCTACTTCTCTTTCAAAGTCTACTTCAGAGATCCTAGAGTGTTCCACGCCATGTTACTAACTCCTTTCTTCAAGAATTAATTGTTCCCTCATCTGTGATTCAGGGCATTTTGTTTTAACCTTTTCTAGAATACTTATGTCACTGTATTATAGTTGATTGTATCTGTCTCCCTTGTTAGGTCTTGAGCTTTTAAAAGGCAGGAGCTGGACGTTAATTGTTTTTGAATTCTTGACTCAGCACAATTCTTGGGACTTTGAAATACCCAAAATGAGCATTCTATGGAAAAATGAGCAGCAAATTTGTAATAAATTATTCACACAAACAATACTACTTAAGTAATTTTCTTTCAAGAACTTGATAGAAGATGATAGTGGTTCTCTCTTTTTACCGTATGTATTCAATCATTCGATTCAATGCAACAAATACTGTACTCATTGTGTGCTATTCTACATGTTAAGGGAGTGTCATTTTTCTTTTTTTTCAAAACAGATTCTGGGTCTGTCACTCCTGATAGAAGAGTACAGTGGTGTCATGATAACTCCACTACAACCTCAAACTCCTGGGCTCAAGTGATCTTCCTGCCTCAGCCTCCCAAGTAGCTGGGACTACAAGCACACACCACCATACTTGGCTAATTTTTTCTATTTAAAAAAAAAAAAAAATATATATATATATATATATATATTTATTTCAGATTACTATGGGGGTACAAATGTTTAGGTTACATACATTGCCTTTGTCCCACCCAAGTCAAAGTTACAAACCTGTCCATCTCCCAGATGGTGTGCACCATACCCATTAGGTGTGAATATACTCACCTCCCCATCCCCCCCACCTGCCTGAATGTTACTACCATACGTGTACATAAATGTCGGTCAATTAATACCAATTTGATGAGACCAGCCTGAGCAAGAATGAGACCCCATCTGTTCTAAAAATAGAAAAATTATTATAGGCATGAGCCACTGCACCCAGCCAGGAGTGTCATGTATGAACTTCATCCAGGGAGTAGGGGAGTTAATAAGACCTATATCCTTTATAATTAAAATATGAGGCAGTATATAATTAGTGCTGTATTATAAGCATGTCCAAAGTGCTTGGGAAACTTTAGGGTCTGGGATTCATTTAAAGATTGCACATAGAATCAATACTTTAGTTTGAGGAGCAATGGGATTTCAGCAGGCAAAAATACAGAATAGGGCAAGGGCAAGGTATAGCATTGTAGGTGATTGGGATTACGTGGTACTTGAAAATGATTACATACTAGATACAGAAGTAGTATAGATTTTGCAGTATTTGGGTAGAAGCCTTAAAAATTAGATAGAAGATTTACTTAAATAATGTACTAAAATGTTTAGAATTACTTCCATGGAAAATCAGAACTCATCAAAAGAGAAGCAAAAGAAGAAAACCTCTGGTTTACACAGCTTAGTCGTGTAGTACCACCTAGAATGAATTGAAGGGCAAACTTTAAAGATAGGGAGTCAGTTTAAGCAAAAGTTAATCTGAGGATTTAATGTGGAATGTAGCTATGGAAAAAGAAAGGAGAGAATGAATGTGACAGTAAGATAAACTAAAGAAGAAGTTGACAATATTTCTGAAATATACTAAATAGAAGATACATAAGTGGTATTATGCTAAGATTATTACATGGACCTTCAATCTGCTAATATTAATTTTCAACACCTTTGGTGCCTTCAATGTCATAAAAAATATTAAAGGAATTAATCATTAGTACATATTCATGTTTATTTTTTACTGAGGTGGTAATGTTATTCCTAAATCTGTTGTCACACTTGTCACACTTGCCATTAGGTAATCAATCTATCAAGAATCTTATTCACCATTCAAACATCCGATTCCTTAAAATGTTCTATTTTAGGGTTCTGGCCTGGAATATTTCTTAGTAACTTTAAAACAGAACTCAAAAACACCCATACTGATAACATATGTAAATTTAGAACACTCTAACTTTAGTGCAAATCTGAGTTATCATCTAACATTTTATTTAAAATAATCATAAGCTATATTTTGCTGGTACATTTTGGCATGGACACTCCTAAATGCTAAATGAAAGCTCCCATCTTAAGTTTTAAAATGTTGACTCCAGGGTTGATGGTGTTGGTACAGGACACAAAGATTGGATGTGCCTGTGTGCTAAGGGGAGAAGTTCTGGAGAAGAAAAAAGAAGCAGGTACACACTTGCAGCTAGTTTGCTGCTGAGTAACTGCAGATTCTGCTGTTTATTGGCAATGACTGGGGCTGGAGTCCTCTTTGGAATGCAGGAGAAAAGGAGATAGAGAATGAAAGGGCGGATGCCTCAGGGATCCATCCCCTGGTCTCATTCCGTCTTACTCTCCAAGAACCCCTGGGACGCCCTCTCTCCCTGACCCCATTCATTCCCCCTCTAGGACTTGCTCATCTTCAGATCTTGGAGACAGGCCAAGTGGAGTGGCTCAGTAATTTGAGGGATCTTTCTCTTAATCATATACTCAGACGTTTAACAAACAGTTATCTAGATGCCGATCCTATCTTTGAGTAAGGGGGTCATATAAACTTTATAAGTTAAAAAAATGTTTTCTTTTTCTTTTTTTAAAAAAACAATCTCTCGAAAAGGAAATATAACACATTTCCTTTGACACCCTTTCTGGAATCCAAAATCTTTTACTATGTGATTGGAAAACATCATTTATTAAAAGTGAAATTTATGTGCAGAGCACTGAATAGGATTTTATTGACATATGCAGGTGAAAGGATTCTCATTCTTTATGACATTTTGGGTTATTTTGGTAATTGAATACTAATAATACAGAAAATTCAGAATGACGTTATCTATGAAGGAACAGAGGGAAGAAGAATGGGTTGAGGACGAGCTCGAGGTCCCACACATACTGGTAACATTTTATTCTTTTAAGTTGGGCATGGAATACACAGATGTCCACCTTATTTATTCACTCATTTGTGTTTTTGCATGTAGGCCACAAATACTATTTTATATCTTTTTAATATTTGATATAATTATTTAAAGGAGAGAATTATATGGTACAATTAATGGTAACAGTAATAAAGTCATTATTATTTTTAAATATCAGGGCTGTGGAAGTAAGTAATTAACTGTTTCTCAAAGCATCCCAAGTTTTGTGTTTTATTTTATTTTATTTTTTTTATTTTGACATATT